GCAATGTATAGCTTTGCGGCGTTGCCATCAATGCCGCAAAGGTAGCGTAGCGGATTGAAAGCCAGGGGGATAGAGTGATGATGATGTAGTGGATGGAAGCGGATAAACTCCAGAGTACTTACACAGCTTGGTCAGACATGATGGAAGGTTGAGAAGAGGGGTATATGTGGGATGAAGTTGAGGGAGATAGACCGTAGACGAGGAATCTACAGAAACAGCTCCAATAGAAGATGATGAAAAGATGAAGGGTATAGAATGGATTACGGAGAAGAAGAAAAGGAGAAGAAGGGAAGAGAGCGAAGAAGATGTCAGAGCCGGATTATTATTACCTATTATTTTATTACTAGGGGTTAGGTGTAGTTAATTACGGACCTTGGATGCTGACGGAGCAACCTTCCGTCATGGTGGGACACTTGCACAGGACAAGAAGTGGACAACGGGCGGGGCACCAGAAGCAACAGAGGGAGCAGAGTCGTCCGGTCGTAGATAGAGTAACACTGGAAGCATCCATGGAGACCACGGAGTTATGGATGATTACTTTAGTATTAGTTGATCATAAATCAATCCCACGGATGGTGGGATTGCTAGACAACTGCAAAGGACCCCAACACTACTAGGCATTACCTCCTTTCTGAAGAACACTGGATATGCTACTACATACTCTGTACACACTCTCACAAGGTCCTTGAACAGTTCTATCATCGTTGTCCCTCATTGATAGGAACAGAGAAGGAACTTCGGAGAGGACGGTAGTTGATGGCGGGGCACAGGAGCTGTAAATGGAGGGGCAGACAGCCAAAAAATGTGCTGGACTAACTGGGAGCGGTGCTAGTGCCTCCAAGTCAGGTATGCTCGGTGAAGCAAAAGAGCCCATATACTTCCGATAACGACATGAATAATAATTACTCCGTCTATCAAGATTAAGGTATTATTAGGCATGATTGCTAAAGCAAGGCTACTTTTGTGCTATCTCCGTGGGAATGTTGGCTTTATACTCGTCTATACTCTGCTCCTCCGGGCTTTTGTCGCATTCGGTCTAGCACTTAACATTGCATGAAAACTGAATCCCTTCGATAAGCTGGTAGTAGAGCTCTAGGGCTACACCAACGACCAACGGAGTTTAGATGCCAATTATCTAGAAGATTGTTTTCCTACTCACAGAGATTTCAAGAATAATACAGCATCTGATGGATTACTGATGCAGAAGATCTCGTCTCTCTCCCATGACGCCGTTGTCGGCTATTGCATTACCCAAAGCGGCTTAGGGTGGGGGTTGCATCATTCTGCGGTAAATCCGTTGGGCGGCTTAGTCATTGAGTCAGTGGCTGAGCCGCTGCTCGGGAACAATGATTTGCCGCAATCCGGAGACCCCTACGGCAAGGCAGAGGAACCAGCAGTGTTTTCTTTCTCTTGGCGCAACATGGACAGTAAGCTGGATTGACCTACCTTGCGATTCAATATTGCCTCCGGACAAGGACTCAAACTCTCCTGTCGACACCTTCCGCGACAATCTCTCTTCGAGACATACGGCCGTCAAACACACTCTCTCTTTTCCGTTCGGCTCAAAAGTGTTGACTGCCTCTTGCATCTTTCGATTCCACCACCAATCTTCCATTGCTTTCTACGCAGTTGAACGGCGATTCAAAGGTCAAAGGATACAAGTCGAGAACGAAGATTGTCGTTGTGCATCATTCACTTGCCTCAAAACCCATATAGATTCAGGATTCGGGACCTTTTTCAGGCGTGACGTCTGACGTGTGACTGCTCGTCAGTCAGGCCCTGAAGGTACGTGTCTGCTGCTACTCCTGCACGCGGCGCAATCAAACCATCCATACCGTATCTCTGTTTCGAACGCTCCGTTCATCATGTCCTTTCCGCCACCTCCAGGTCTCAAACAAACACCATCTTCGCTCCCCGCGCGGCCACCAGCATCCGCAAGCACAGCCGCCGCATCTTATCAACCTGCATATTCGGCCGCGCCCTCATATACGGCTCCAGCTGCCAGCAGCGGATATGGCGGGACTGGCCCTCGGGCAGGCTATAATTCCTTCACAGCGTTCCAGCCTCGTGCTGTAGCTTCCAGTCAGCCTTATCGTACCAGCAGTCCGGCCGTCTCTACGCCGCCAGCTACTGCCGCGGGTTACTCGGCGCCGGCTGCTACAAACTATGGTAGTTACTACTCTCAGACACCGCAAACATACCAGGGTGGACCGACTTCTTACGGCTCCGCACAGTACAGTGATACCACCTATGGCCCGTCTGTGCCTCAGATTCAAAATCCATTCACTGCTACAGGGACGGGGAAGAATTACGGACGCAATGACTCCGGTCTAGATCCCGAGACAGAAGCACAAATTGCGCAGTGGCAGAGCGCTTATGCCAACAAAGAGGAAGTTCCGGGAGGAGGCAAGGTAGCAGGTCGTCGCGACGGAGCTACGGGAATGTCAAGTGCTACCGTGGGAACCAACACACCGACCAGTGCGACAGCGACGAGTACCCCCACACCTGTGCCGGGCCACCCAGAGCAATCTGCCAAGACCGTTGTGCGTTCCGGCGGTGGCCAGACGTGGACCGATCCGACTCTGCTAGAATGGGATCCGGCGCATTTCCGACTCTTCGTGGGGAATCTCGCGGGCGAGGTGACCGACGACTCGTTGCTGAAAGCGTTTTCGAGGTATTCATCCGTTCAGAAAGCGCGAGTCATTCGGGATAAGCGCACCCAGAAGAGCAAGGGGTATGGATTTGTCAGTTTCAGCAACGGCGATGACTACTTCGCGGCAGCTAGGGAGATGCAGGGCAAGTACATTGGCTCACATCCGATTTTGCTGCGACGCGCCACCACGGAGATCCGTCCGACGGCTAACACCAAGGGCGGGAAGAAGAACGCTGGCGGTCAAGGCGGAGGTCAATCCGGGGGGAAGGTCAAGCACGACGGCGTCAAGAAGCTGGGCAAGACGAGGGGCGGACTGAAGATTATAGGTTGATGAGCATCTTCCATTGCGTATATCAATACAATTAATGATTCGTAAGACATGTCATTTTGTGTATATGTACTGATCGCATGAAATATAGTACAAATAATACTGTCGTAAGTATTTTCAATCAATCGGTTGCATGATATACCCAACTCCAAGCGCCATTGCCCATACTTTGGACATCAGATAGTCAACCAAAACCAAGAATATAAACCTGATATAAACCTGATATCACCACTGAGCATGCATGCATTATGCAAGACCAATATCTATGAACGACATAGATCAATGTATAAATATGTTGTTTTGTTCGTTTCTCTCGCTTCTGACTCGGTCCCATCAATCCCGAATTAGAGAGCATCGAGCGAAAGACACAGGTGATCCTCGTTTCTATACTCTCATCGACGTCGAGCCAAACGGCGTGATTCATAACGGACATGGCGTAGTATAAGGTAGTTCAAATCGTAATGCATCAAGTCATGCACAGCATATCGTGATCGTCGTCGAAATAATCCGTAAATAGTGAGTGATAAGAGAGGTCACCCCTCCTCAGCACCCTCCTCATCAACAGCCCGTTTCTTGGAGAAGAAGGAGACGTGGTTTTGCATAGCGTAGATGCCGAAGCCGGCGAGGGCGAGGATGATGAAGAGGATGATAATGATAATGGCGATGGTGATGTTTTTTTGGACCATTTTGTTCGTTTCCTCCGCGAAGGAGTGGATATATATATAGAAGTTTTAGAGGGCAATGTAGATATGTAGACCTTTAAAACGGAAATCCTCCGTAAGGGGTGAAGAAGGAAGAAGATGCGAGAATTCTTCGAGGGACCATGTGCATCGCCGGGTACTTTTAAGGGACGTGGCCCAGCCATGTTGATTTCCTTGTGAAGTATCGACTGTCGGTGGCTGGGCTGTTGGACAGCATCGTGTTCCTCCGCTCGGGAAGAGATGAATATAGCCTGGCCCTATTCGTTGGGCAAGCCGATCCTGATTGGGTTGAGGGTACTTAAGCTGTCGGGCTAATTGTTAGGCTGACCAGGTACCAAGTACTTTGGGCCCAGCCTCCGCATTTATCGAGGGCTACAGCCTACAGGATTGACAATTGGCAGGAGGCACGTAACTCATATTGAGGGCCAGTTTTTTCCTATCGAGGAAGATTGATGCTGTTGAAGGGTCTTCTATATGATAGGAAGATAGCGTCTTTTTAAACGCATCATGCTTGGCTTGAGTCCACATTCCACACCATGTGGCAGATTTACTACACTAACTGCAGCCTCAGTCTAGGAATCCCATTAGTTTAATGACGTCTCTGAAAGCTGAAGAAGATCTTGAGCTGCAAAAATGACCAGAATGGATGCCTCACAGAAGAAGGAGTGAATGCGACATTATATTAATACTTCGTACTACACCAAGACCTGGATAAGCACTTTGGTGTATAGAGCTTTTTCCTTTTTAGGGAACATCCTCTACGTCAACGTCACTGACTACTCTTATCGGTTCGATCAACACCGATCCGATGCTTGGCATTTCTGTACGATGACCCAATTTCTCGACAACGGTTTGATTCAGCTTATTGCAAAGTTATTCTGTCTTGGCTACGCTACTGGTTAACGGAATGCTCGGGTCCATCCAGATCGCAAGTGATGATCTCATTGTGATCGTTTGGGCGATTCCATCGATGAACATGCGCACATGACTGGACAGATCCCTGGATCAGAACACTGCATCGATGGGAAACACACAATACAATCGGACACTCGGGTTTCGTGTTCTCCGATGCGAAGCTGCTCGTATCGGCATGAATCAGGTTGATGGATAGTGATGTTGAGCTGAGCTTATTGATCTGACTGATATGCACAAATATGCTCGGTCAATCCAAATCAGACATCCGGGGAAGACATTGCATTGAAAACTCCCTGACGTAATTTGTTTTCATTTCTCATCCCTACGGGTCATTTCTACGCTTTCTCTGTCTTCAATGTGCAAGTCCTTTATTATACATGTAACCTGATCTGCAGCCTGCATCATGGACACTGAGCGCGCCGTAGAGCGTCAACAGAAAGTGAATGCTTCCTCAGAAGCGCAATCTTCTCATGACATTGCGAATTCTGCAGCTTCACCAGCAGCTTCCGGTTCCGACACTGGAGACTATTCTTCAAACGACGAACAACCATCGACTGCATCCAAGTCAACTCGGGATGGACAGTACGATGACGACCACGTCAACCGTGTTCTCTCCCGTCGACAGACCAGCCATGGAAGCAAAGGCGCCGAGGATATGGCTCAGATTGCGAAGCTGATGTCTCGCATGTTTGGGAAGGAAAGGAAATCCGTTTCTGACGAGGAGAAGACCAGACATGCTGGTGTCATATGGAAGGGCTTGACAGTGAAAGGGGTTGGCCTGGGAGCCGCCCTGCAGCCTACCAACGCCGATATCTTTCTTGCTGTGCCTAGATTCATCAAAGGCTTGTTGACGAGAGGCAGAAAAGGAATCGGTGCCGGCCATCAGCCATTGCGGACCATACTCGACGACTTTACCGTCTGTGTTCCCTTGTAACTTTGATCAATGAACTGACTGACTGTGTTCAGGGCTGCGTCAAACCACGTGAGATGCTCCTGGTTCTTGGACGGCCGGGGTCCGGATGCTCGACTTTTCTGAAGGTGATTGGCAATCAAAGGGCGGGATATAAAAGTATTGAAGGAGACGTACGCTATGGTGGCGCAGATGCCGAACTGATGGCCGACAAATACCGGTCTGAAGGTACAGTTGCTACCTCATCCGCACTGCAAGCATACTTTCGCTGATTAAATCTGCAGTGTCCTATAACCCCGAAGATGACCTCCATTATGCAACTTTGACCGTCCGGGATACTCTGTTGTTCGCTCTTAAAACTCGCACTCCAGACAAAGATTCGCGCATCCCAGGGGAAAGTCAACAGGACTATCAAAACACATTTCTCTCTGCCATTGCCAAATTGTTCTGGATTGAGCATGCGCTCGGCACAAAAGTGGGCAACGAGCTCATCCGTGGTATCTCAGGAGGAGAGAAAAAACGTGTATCTATCGCCGAGGCCATGATTACCAAAGCCAGTACACAATGTTGGGATAACTCGACCAGAGGCCTTGATGCCAGTACAGCTCTGGAATATGTACAGAGTCTGAGAACTCTTACTGACATGGCGAATGTATCCACGGTTGTAGCGCTCTACCAAGCCTCTGAGAATCTTTATAACCTGTTTGACAAGGTCATGTTGATCGAAGAGGGCAAGTGCGCATACTATGGAAGCGCGCAAGATGCAAAGGCATATTTTGAACGCCTAGGGTTTGAATGTCCCCCGCGGTGGACCACCCCGGACTTTTTGACATCGGTCAGTGATCCACATGCGCGCCGTGTCAAAAGTGGATGGGAGGAGCGAGTCCCGAGATCTGGTGAGGACTTTCAGAGAGTGTACCGCAAGAGTGATACGTACAAGGCTGCCCTGCTGGAGATTGACCAGTTCGAGAAAGAGTGGGAGACGCAGGAGCATGAATGTGAACAGGCGAGGCGGGAAATGCCCAAAAAGAACTACACCATTCCCTTCTATGATCAGGTCATCGTTCTAACTCGTCGACAATTTCTGATTATGTACGGCGACAAACGGACCTTGGTGGGAAAATGGTCCATGTTGACCTTCCAAGCTTTAATCATAGGAAGTTTATTCTACAACCTTCCGCCCACAAGGTTCGTCGATATGTCCACTGAAGGATGATTTTCAAACTGACCTATGTCCTAGCGGTGGTGTATTCACCCGGGGAGGCGTCATGTTCCTTATTCTCCTCTTCAATGCCTTACTCGCGATGGCAGAACTTACAGCATCTTTCGAAAGTCGACCGATCATGCTGAAGCACAAAAGCTTGTATGACTATCTCCTGCAGAACGAAGTACAGGACTGACTGTTTCAGCACCTTCTACCGCCCATCCGCCTATGCTCTAGCCCAGGTGGTTGTTGACGTTCCATTGGTCTTCATCCAGGTCACTCTTTTCGAGTTGATTGTATATTTGTATGCATCCTGTCAGGCTTCGAGTCATGCACTTTGACGCTAACTTTGTCGAAGTATGGCAAATCTCTCTCGGACGCCGTCCCAATTCTTTATCCAGTTCCTGTTCATATTCAGTCTCACAATGACAATGTATTCTTTCTTTCGAGCTCTCGGGGCAGTGTCTGCTTCTCTTGACGTCGGTATGTGCCAAGTGTGCTTTCCTTGACGAAACCTTCTTTTGCTAATTGAGCAGCTACTCGGCTCACCGGAGTTGCCATACAAGCATTGATCGTCTATACAGGTAGGATGAAATTCTCTCGGAACGACACCCTTTCTCACGTCACTCAGGTTATCTCATCCCGCCATGGAAGATGCATCCGTGGTTGAAATGGTTGATCTGGATAAACCCCGTTCAATATGCGTTTGAAGCTGTCATGTCCAATGAATTCTACAACCTCGATATTCAGTGTGTAAGGCCAAATATTGTACCTGACGGCCCCAATGCGCAGCCCGGTCACCAAAGCTGCGCGATCCAGGGAAGCAGTCCGGACCAGCTAGTTGTCCCAGGTTCGAGTTACATCAAGACTGCTTTCTCATACACTCGGTCTCATCTATGGCGGAACTTTGGCATCGTCATCGCGTGGTTCGTTTTCTTCGTCGCCTTGACGATGTTGGGTACGGAGTTGCAGCAACCCAACAAAGGCGGCAGCTCAGTTACAACTTTTAAGAGGAACGAAGCGCCAAAGGTTGTTGAGGAAGCAGTGAAAAACAAAGAATTTCCCGAGGATGTGGAATCAGGACAGAAGGAGAATGCTGCCAATGCAGATCCCGAGAAGACCCAATCGGGAGAGTCTGGGAGTGAAGTCAAAGATATCGCTCAGAGCACGTCTATCTTCACTTGGCAAGATGTCAACTACACCATCCCTTATGAGGGTGGGCAAAGGAAGCTTCTGCAGGACGTACACGGATATGTTAAACCCGGCCGCCTTACTGCCTTGATGGGAGCTTCCGGAGCAGGGTCAGTCATGCCTATCATGACATTGAAAGCAAAGTAGCTGACACAGGTCATTACAGGAAAACTACTCTACTAAATACTCTGGCACAGCGGGTCAATTTTGGTGTCGTTACGGGTACCTTTTTGGTAGATGGAAAGTAGGTCTTACTGCCACGGTTCGCATCCTGGACGTCACTTACAACTTTAGGCCACTTCCTAAGAGTTTCCAGAGAGCAACTGGGTTTGCTGAACAGATGGATATCCATGAGCCCACCGCAACTGTTAGGGAGTCTCTCCGCTTCTCTGCGCTTCTGCGGCAGCCTAAAGAGGTGCCTATTGAGGAGAAGTATGACTATTGTGAGAAGATCATTGACCTACTTGAGATGCGCCCAATTGCCGGTGCAACTGTGGGCTCTGGAGGGACTGGCCTGAACCCCGAACAACGCAAGCGACTCACCATTGCAGTGGAGCTGGCAAGTAAGCCTGAACTTCTGTAAGTTGAGGCCCCAGGCACATTACTGTGGCCTCAGGCAAATCACTGACTAAGGCGCGTTGCGTGGACAGTTGTTTTCTTGACGAGCCTACAAGTGGCCTTGATTCGCTTGCCGCGTTCAACATTGTGCGGTTCCTTCGACGGCTTGCGGACGCTGGGCAAGCAATTCTTTGCACGATTCACCAGCCGTCTGCGGTCCTATTCGAAGAGTTTGATGACCTCCTACTGCTGCAAAGTGGTGGTAGAGTTGTGTACAACGGACAACTGGGACAGGACTCGAAGGATCTCATCGAATACTTCGAGTCGAACGGTGCTAAGAAGTGTCCGCCTCATGCGAATCCTGCCGAAGTACGTCTTACACCTCGTCTGCTCAAGTTTAAACTGACATGGCTCTCAGTACATGCTCGAGGTCATCGGCGCGGGCAATCCGGACTACAAGGGAAAGGACTGGGGAGACGTCTGGGCCCAGTCTCCTCAATGCAAACAACTGGCCGAAGAGATTGACAGAATCATCGACTCGCGCCGCAATCGCGAAATCAGACAGAACAAAGACGACGAGCGGGAATACGCAATGCCCATCTGGACCCAGATAGTGACGGTCACCAAGCGGGCGTTCGTCGCATACTGGAGATCTCCAGAGTATACTCTCGTAAGGGTGTGTTTCTTCCTCGGAGAGTAGATGCTAACAGCCACAGGGCAAATTCCTTCTCCATATCTTCACCGGGCTCTTCAACACGTTTACCTTCTGGCATCTGGGAAATAGCTACATCGACATGCAATCGCGGCTCTTCTCGATCTTCATGACTCTCACCATCTCGCCACCCCTGATCCAGCAGCTTCAGCCCAGATTCCTGCACTTCCGGAACCTCTACGAATCACGCGAGGCCAACTCGAAGATCTATTCATGGACCGCGATGGTCACCAGCGCCATCCTCCCGGAGCTCCCCTACTCCATCGTCGCAGGATCCACCTACTTCAACTGCTGGTAAGCTCAAGCCCCTTCAACCCAGCTCGAACCATCTCTCACAAGACCGACACAACCAGGTACTGGGGCATCTGGTACCCCCGCGACTCCTTCAGCTCCGGCTACACCTGGATGCTGCTCATGGTCTTCGAGCTCTACTACGTCAGCTTCGGCCAGTTCATTGCCGCCTTCTCCCCCAACGAGCTCTTCGCCTCCCTCCTCGTCCCCAGCTTCTTCACCTTCGTCATCGCCTTCTGCGGCGTCGTCGTCCCCTACGCCGCCCTCCCCCACTTCTGGCGTTCCTGGATGTACTGGCTCACTCCCTTCCACTACCTGCTCGAGGGCTTCCTCGGCGTCCTCACCCATAACATCCCCGTCCGCTGCGTCAGCAGGGAGATGACCCAGTTTTCGCCCCCACCAGGCGAAACCTGCCAGAGCTACGCCGGCGCCTTTGCGAAACAGGCAGGCGGGTACGTCCAAGACGCACCGGGAGGGCTATGCTCGTATTGCCCGTATTCCGTCGGGGATGCGTTTGTACGTTCTTCTCCTCCTCATCCATGTCTGTGTCCTTGGTATTGACTGATGTTCTCATTCCAGGCGGCGGGTTTCAACGTCTTCTACTCGCACAAATGGCGCAACTACGTAAGTTGTCTCTCACTATTTTTGCAGGCGAATGACCTATTGACAAAAGCAGGGGATCTTCTGGGCTTTCACCATGTTTAATTTCGTGGCGGTCTACTTCTTCTCCTGGCTTTATCTTCACGGCGTGGGGGATTTGAAGCGGTGGATTAGTGCGCGGAAGGCGAAGAAGGGTGTACAGTGATAGTATTACCAGGAGCCAAAACCTCTTGTTCGGTCTCATGTATTATGATCTAGATATCCAATAATAGCAGACTTCCTTGCGAGAACTGAAGATGAGTATATATCATTCCAGTATTTGTACAGTTAGATAACAGTGCCCAACATGCATTCGATGCCTTCATAACTACGGCCCAGAGCTAGGCGGCGGCGGTCCAGACTGACTAGCCAAGTTCGAAACGGTAAGAGGCTGGTGACTGTGCGGATTCCACGTATTCGGCGCTGTGGCCGGCGGATTTGTAGCAGAAGTGTGGCCACCATCTGCGCCATTCATTAATCGAGGACGCTTGGCCTGCGGACCTGTTTGGGGACTCCGGAGATAAGGAGAGGTGTTCTGGCTGGATGGGGCCGAGGCGCCCCCGGTATGCGAGGACGATTGATCCGGGCTGGAGGCGTGGACGGGGCCAGGAGCGGGCTGCAGCGCTCGCGACCTGGGGTGTGCAGACGGAGGCGCAGACGCCGGCGCAGAGGCAGGCGGTTCATCCGTCGCGCGGGGTTTGGTGTCCGTACTGCTGCGATCATCGAGCGGAGGATTGCCATACCCGACGCCGACTCGGCCCATGGTCTTGTCGTGCATCACAACCCGCTTCCACTTGGCAACGACGCTATCGTAGTCCCACCGAGGCGAACCGGGGCTGATCTGGCTTTCTTTGGCATCTAGCTCTCGCGCAACAGCGGGTGGGAGGGGGAGGGTATCCGGCGGGAAGAGCGCGAATTCTCGGGGCCATTGGCAAGAACCCAGCTTCTCCACCTGCGCGCGTAGCTGGTTGGCTTCCTGCTGGACGCGAGCGAGCTGTTCGCCCAATAATTTCCGTTTCTCCGCCTCACGGGCGAACGCGCGTGTAATCTCAAGATGCCACGCCTCTAGTCGGGTCTCCGGGGGCAGTGAGGCCCAGTGTTTGAAACCCAGCTCGAGATGCCTCAGGCTCATGTCTTCATGTTGCTGTGCGCTGCGGCTGATCATATTAGCGTCCAGGCCGAGTCCCGGCCGACCGGGAGAGTTGTTTGCGGATTGCGCGGACAGCTGGTCGGATTGCCACTGGTCAATCTTCGCTCGGATTGCCTGTCGTACAATATCGAGATGTTCTACCCCAGGAGGTTTCAATGGGAAAGATGACAGCGACGGGAACGGATTGGTAGAGAAGAGACTGGGAGGTGGGGGCAGCAGCTGAAGACAGAGCGAGGGGAATGTCTCCGACTGAATATCGAAATCGAACGGCGAAAGCCGAGGTCGCATCCGGGAACTACTGTGCGCATTATTATTAGCAAGGTCTGATTCAATTTCCTGGCACATTCTTCAGTCGCAGGGACCGAGTGCTGACGGGCACGCACGTTGCAGCTTTGATATTATCCAGAACCTCTCGCAGAGCCAGCTCCAACGCCCTCATTGTATCCGGATCCTTGGCGCTGGCACCCCTACTCGCATAGTCCGGAAGATGCACCCCCCCTGTTCGAGGCTGCGAGGCCGCGAACCGCGACGCCTCCGGCGTCTGACCTGGATTGGGAATATCATTGATGACCCCGGTCGCATGCCACGTAGGCGTGTTAAACATCATCCTGATCGCGCCCTCGCGCGGCTTCGCGCCGTGTTCTCCGCCTGCAAAGTGCTCCGACGGGCCCTTGCCCATGGCCCGTTCAGGAGTATCCCGTTTGCCGGAGGATGTGCGGGCCTGCCGTCTGGTGATGCCGCTTCGAATGCGCCGAATCTCTTCAACATCGTGGATCCCGTCGGGCTTTTTCTTAAAGAGAAATTGATCCAGGTGTCGGCCGAGGGATGACGATGTGAAGGCCTGATGACAGTACTGGCATTTTCGATCCTTGACGGAAGCCTGATTCTTGGATTGGCCTGCCGATTGGGACTGGTTGTCTTCGCCTCCACCAGGAGAGTGTTCTGGGGTGTCGTTCGGACGAGAGGGTGTGGTTTCCGCCATTGTTTCACAAGGGCGTGAAAAATAATCAAGTTGTTGGCGAACGTGGAGTCGCAGTGACACCAGAAACGCGTTGACCAGCTCGCATCCGAGGAAGCTCTGCAGCTCAATGCATGAAAGAAGCAGGCCCGCGCTTGTGCGTCACAGCTGGAACAAGGAAGAGTGGGCCCCAAGATTGGAAGTGAGGGACGTGATAAAGCTGCAAGTGATGGGAAAAAAAAAAGAAAAGATGGCTGAGCTGGAACGAGGAGGAGAAAAAAACAAAGTAGAAGCAAGGAAGTAGAGAGGTAGAGGAAGAAGAACGAGAATGTGGACGTGACGATCGACGAGCGCCAAGCTTTGCGGTGGGGAACTTCGAGTCTGCGTCTTTTGCTCCGAGGTTGAGACAGATACGGTTAGATAGATAGAACATGAGGATATCTCCCATTTAACAATGCCTTTCCAGATAGCTGCTACAATGGCTCGAAAACGAATGGGACACATGATGTTATGGCTGCGCTTCATGATGCTACCTCCGTGGCTACTATCAATAATAACAACCAGCTGACCGCACATCAATCAAGTAGAAACCAGAAACAAGACCTATTGTGATGCCTCTTTGACCTTCTCACCGATATACTCAGCTAACGTCAGCATTTTCTCCTCCTGGAATCGTCGTCCGACGATCTGAAGCCCGGCCGGCGCCCCGTGGTAGATGTCGGCATCATCTGAGAAAGGTTAGCAAATGGTTTGGAGAAAGTGAATCCAGTGAATCAATAAGATGAGCTCACAATCTTCATAAACTAGCCTGTCCACCTCGCTCAGGAAGTCATTTCGTGGTTGAGACACGTCAATTGTTTTGTCTGCACGAGTCACGGGGAACACGACACTGGTGTAGTCCAGCAGATTCACGAATGATGAATAACCAACATGAGGATATTTCTGAGGAATCACAGCCGCATGTGGTGCACATGGGCAGATGAGTCCGTCCACCGGCCGTCCAGTACCTGTCAGTTCAGCAGTACTATTCCAGTATTCCATATAGAGCTTTTGGTATTCGCGCTTCTTGACGTTCAACGCTGCAACTTCCAGGGCCGTCTTGTGACTGAGTTTAGTTTTCACTATAATCTGTGGAGCAGGTTCTTCTCCAGATAGTCCAAAGTGATACTCGATATCTGCTCCACCGTCCGAGGTGAAAGCTTGATCCTGTCGGAGTCAGTATACTTTGAGCCTAAGAAAAGTGGACAAGGGACGAAACATACGGCCAAGTCGACTGCGATACTGTGAGATGGAGGTTTCCATTCAATGACCTGATGTCCAACTTTGTCAGCCTGCCCATACGCATTGCCATAATTCTCTTACCCTGTGTCCGAGCTTTTTCAGCGTCTCCTCTACGGTCTTCATAGCCCGTGCAATAGGAGGATGAAGCTTGACTATCCCGTCATCGTGCATAACAGCAAAAGCAAGCTTGGAAGGATCGGCTGCTGACTGCTTCACCAGAGTCCCGACCTCTCGTTCAATATCTTCGCGCCAGGGTACCTCGAGCACCAGGGGATCATGGAACCAGGACTCTTGGCTGAGTACAGCCTTGAAAAGCAGTCTCAGAGAGCGCGCTGTTGTTGCAAGCGGGCCAATAACGGATAGGATGGTATTTTGGCCGTCCATGGAGTTTGCAGCGCCCTCGTAAGGTACCCTGCCGGACGAGGGACGTATTCCGCAGAGGCCGTTGAATGCAGCCGGTATACGGACGCTACCGCCAATATCAGTGCCAAACCCTCCAGGAGACCCTCTCAGGGCGATAAGCGCGCCTTCCCCGCCCGAGCTTCCTCCACAGGAGAGAAGTCGGTTCTGCGGGTTAGTTGTATACTTGATGATATGGTTGACTGTTTCTCCTGCCATCAGAGTCGCAGGCACACTTGTCTTGCAGTACAGCACAGCTCCGAGGTTGCGAAGCTCCCTGACAAGCTCGCTTTCAAACACGCCTTTTCTTGGATCTTCCTTTTTGCCCTGGAACGTACCGATCCAGCCGACATATCCCATCGTCGTCTCCACGCCCCGCACATGAAACTGGTCCTTCAAACTGACCGGAAGACCGTGAAGAGGCCCAACAGGCTTCTTATGCTCAGCGAAATAGGCATCGAGCCTTTTGGCGTCTTCAATAGCAGCCTCGAAGAATACTTCATGCAGACAGTTCACCTGGACACTGTCAACAAACGGCATACAGTATAGTTGTTAGCAGACGTACAAGCTGGTGTGCCAGAGCAGCCCTATGGCAAAATGCCTCCGTTACCTCCACAGCAGTCCAGTTACCAGATGTCGTCTGCTTCGCGATGTCCACGGCATCGCTTCCAGTAATCTCTAGCTCCCGAGGACTCAAGAACTGCTCAATGTAACCAGTAACATCCCGTAGTTCGGATGGTGATGGGACCGGAGTCTGAATCCTCCACTTGGCGGGAATTGCATCGAGGATGGACTGGCGTTTGGCATCAGCCAAGGACCTCCAGTCTGCAGTCATTGTGACTTAACAGCTTGGTTTATTAGAACTTATGGGATATAATTGAGGGGTGGCGTAGTAGAAGGGATACCTCGTCCGGTAGGAAACGTCCACCTTAAATCGGGTGCAGACAGTTGGAGAACGGGGCCATCTTCCTTATCTTAGGTGCCAGGAACTTCATATCTTTTCCGATTAGGCAGGTCGAGTAACATGCCCTGGTTTGAGACACCATGAAGGTAACCGAGGCCGTCGATGATTATGCGCAGTGTGGTATGATAGTCAGTCGCAGCGGGGAACGTGGGGCAGTGTTATCTATCCAGTAACGTCTGAGATTCAACTCGTATTCTGTTCTCCAACAGGGTTATACAGTTGGAGAACCATCAGATGTGAGTCTATGGAGTAGTTGGAGTCCTACGGAACATGTTCGGCATTGAGGAGACTCGGTAAGATTGGTAGTAAGCTAGTAGGCTAGTAGAGGCCTGGCGAATCTCTGTCCTTTCCCGCAATGGGTATCCGAACAACTGAATTGACGAATTTCAAGAAGATACCATTGAACGAACGAAGTCTTTATCCTCAGCATAGTAGTAGCGGTTCAATCTATTCTTTCAATATCCTCGAGCTTCTGCACGGCCCGTCTCGGAGAGGCCGGCTACAATAATGCCCCAGTTACTGGATTCTATACCAGATCTCACTTCGCTATGTAAGCTTGGAAGGAGTAATATATATCCAATCCCATGATTTCAATAACAGGGCGCCCCGTAGACTCATCGTCATTTGGGCCCAGCCGGAAGGGATGATGGTGTCGACACATGGTAGCCTGTTATATGTCAAACTGGATGGTAGATTCTCCTGGCTAACAGGATGATCTATCCATTGGCGACAGATGACCTGCCTCGCCCTCATGGAGCACATGACGCTCGTCTCTGACTGGCATACATCTATAGAGATAACCAGAGAGGGATATCATAGAATCTGAGACCTCAGACCGTCAACCATGAGACTCAGTCGCAGACATTTGTCGGACGTTTAAATTTACTCGCTTGCCGGCCATCCAGCCCTTCCACTTGCCAAATTGTGTCTTATCAGTTGTGTTGGAGGTACACCATGGCCAATCAGCCAACCATTCCGGGCAAGTGCCAGGGACAATTTTCGGTACTGCGTGCCATGCAAAGCGAGAGGTGCCATCCATGTACACGGCATCCCCCGAGCGAAGACGGATGATCTCACAATCAGTCCCATCGTCGTGGCTGATCAAGAAGAGGCCATCGCAGCCGAAACTGATGCTGATCAAGCCCACATCGCACTCCTCACTGACATCCCGATGAGGGCTCAGATTGTCGCCAGGGGAATAAACATTCAATATGGCCGCCTCGGCTTTTGTTTGAGGAAAGGCTGCGTGCAGCACATTGGCAATATCAGCAGGAAATGCAGGCGGGGGTCCCGAAGGATATTCTTTAGCAGTCCAGTCGTATTGACCACCAAGGGTCACCCAGCGCAGCTTCCTGGTGAGCATTTGCTGAACGGTAACCGGTTTATGGACGTGCGGGTCTTTGGGAAATAAGACTCTAGATGGATCGTCTTCAAAGAAAGAGACAATCTGTGGCACGGTGGAGCCATCTTCAGGTGGGGACACGGCGGTGTTGGGTTGACTTGCAGCTTGACCAGGGTAGGTGACGTGGTAATGCAGGTGAAGATTGGTCCGATGCTCCGGATTTGACAAATCGCGATGGAACAATCGAGAGAGTAACTCTACTTGAACGGCAGAAGGGAATATGGAAGGGACCATTTGCAAACCTACCACATGTTAGGAGTTGATTGCTCTACTTCTTGGTTGCGCTCGCTTTCAAGGAGACCAGGGCTGTGATATGCTAACCAGAGACGGACTTGTGTGTATAGACAGGTATGGTTTCAGGAGGAGAGTCCTCATGTTCTCTGGCAAACTGCTGGAGAATCGGGCGAAGGTTCTGACTCGATACGCAATGCGACAGAGATATATTGTCTGGAAGATCATTGGGATTCAGAGCCTTTAGGTCAATTATTGTCCCATCAGTATTGATCTCAGAAATCGTGGCCTTTTGAAGAGTCTTGTAGCGTTGTCGGATGGCCTCAGGGGGTCGTTCATGAGCATTGAGCTCTTTGATATGAGGCATGGTATTGTGCAAACTGCGGGGATAAGCTTTAGAAGTATAGAGGCCGAGTCAATTCAGTGATCGCCAAGGATGAAGGCTATCTCGCGATGTTTATCACTTCAAGGGCAGATTCATCCCACAGGAATTAAGTGGTCAGTCCGCAACTTGGGTTATTGATTGTCTAAGCTCTGGTATGCCCCATCATCCGGTCAGTGTCGCTGTTCAAATCCCAGAGACAAAGAGAGAAACGAAGAAAAAAAGAACCATCACGGAACGCGCTCACCGCCTTTGTCGCGTGGGAATCGTTTTGTTTGTGTACATCCATTGATTATTCTGGTCTGACCGCCTTTGTCTCCCCACCATCAAAAGCAGGGACGAAAATAACAAGAAGCCTCGTTCGATTCAAGATTACTCGACTCGACGATCCGATCGACGGCCCTTCAGACGCACGTCAATTGATCAATTTTGGTCAATCTTGACCTTGGCCCTTGGATGATCCTGTGTGGTGTCTGACGCGGAACCGGCCAGCTCTCCCCCTAGCTTGGAGTTTCCATTCATCCCTATCCCCCCCTCCTCGCAGCTATTAACATCAATTGAAACCCCATCTTATTCCTCCTTGTCCGATAGCGACCTAGTGGACACTGTGCATTTAACACTGTTCGACCCCACTTGCCAGTAGTCTTGCCCAGCAGTTAGCTCGTGATTCCACCGGCCCTACGAGCAGAAGTTGATTATCGATAATCCTTGGCAAGGAGACTGTCACCATGGAGAATTACCAGAAGCTTGAAAAAATTGGAGAGGGTATGTACAATGACCTAGTTCCTGCATGTTTACCATGCTATTTCTAGTCCATTTCCTCCAATCACCACCATGGAAATAATCGAGCTGACCCGTTATTCCCATGGCTAGGAACCTACGGTGTCGTCTACAAGGCCCGTGAACTCACTCATCCCAACCGTATTGTTGCCCTGAAGAAGATCCGACTTGAAGCAGAAGATGAAGGAGTTCCGAGCACTGCCATCCGTGAGATCTCCCTTCTCAAGGAGATGAGCGATCCGAATATTGTACGACTTCTGAACATTGTCCATGCCGATGGCCACAAACTCTATCTTGTTTTTGAATTTCTTGATCTCGATCTCAAGAAGTACATGGAGGCTCTTCCTGTTAGCGAGGGTGGACGTGGAAAGGCATTGCCCGAAGGTTCTGCGTTGAGCAAGAACATGGGACTGGGAGATGCTATGGTCAAGAAGTTCATGGCCCAATTGGTGGAGGGAATCCGTTATTGCCACAGCCATCGTATCCTGCATCGTGATCTCAAGCCTCAAAATCTGCTCATCGACCGTGATGGCAATCTGAAATTGGCCGACTTTGGTCTGGCAAGAGCATTCGGTGTCCCTCTGAGAACCTACACACACGAGGTGAGACCATTGGACTATATTGACTGTCAATTCAACATAGAATACTTATATAGTGCTTCAGGTTGTGACGCTCTGGTACCGATCTCCCGAGATCCTGCTTGGTGGTCGTCAATACTCTACTGGCGTCGACATGTGGTCCTGTGGCGCTATTTTCGCCGAAATGTGCACACGCAAGCCATTGTTCCCTGGCGATTCCGAGATTGACGAGATTTTCAAGATCTTCAGGTATGCTTATTCGTTGTGGCAATTGGTGTATTGAGGGTCATTTTATTGATTCACGTCTCGCACCACAGACTCCTTGGTACTCCTGACGAAAACACCTGGCCTGGCGTCACCTCATTCCCTGACTACAAACCAACATTCCCCAGGTGGAAGCGCCAAGATCCCCATACACTGGTCCCTGGCCTGGAGGAAGATGGTCTTGACCTTTTGGAGGCTCTACTAGAGTACGATCCCGCCCGTCGAATTTCGGCCAAACAGGCCTGCATGCACCCATATTTTGCACACGGTACCGCTTACTACTCGGGCCGCGGTCGGAGAAATGGATATCACTAACTGAAGACTTGTCACGATGTTTACTCGTTCCTTTGTAATGTATGTATGCATGATGAGGCTGACAAATGCCGAAAACCACTGGTTGGCAACGCAGCTGACCTCGCTGACCTCGCTGACTTACTAACCCTGCTGGCCTGTGACTCGTTACCAATGTGTCGGGCGCTGCCTCTTCTTTCATTTCATCTTATCTTTTGTCTTTTATTGGCTGCAATTGTTGTTCTACGGCGTTAGTGTGGTGTGATAAGGCAGGAAAGAGGTTAGGTTACTGGATATTCATGGACCATTTTTCCATTTCGCAGAAGCGTACATACCATATACCTGTTTCAATATTTTGTATCTCCGATTATCGTATGGAATGATCCTGGGGACGCGGGTCACCCATTGCACACTGACTCCCCGTAACTGGTAGTTGGTGCTTACCAAGATGACAGAAGCCGACATGGTCAAGGTTAAGCAGACGTCTAAAGAAACAAGATAAACAGGGCCGTAGGGCGTCTTAACTGGGATCAGTAACCTCCATCAGCCTTGCCAGCTTCCAGGTTTCCGGACGACACAGGCATGGCACAGCCTCAGGCGCACCGTACCTACTTCTTCCGGACGCTGGCTGAATGCTGTGAAACAACATCCCCTGCTCACAATCTGATAGGTATGCCAAATATCTTATTACAAGATTGCACTCGTTGCTAGGAATAACTATTCTAAGGGATATTTCCTGTTGGTTCAGCTGCTGTAAGCATGTTTTCAGCTCAGGGGCCGGGCCACCAACAGACAAAATGCTGGGTATGGACTTGGGATAATCTCACGCTTTTCCATGATTGGCCCGACTCAGCCCAAGCGCATTCGACTCTGCATAAGCGTCCTACAACTTGGCAGCCATGTGTGAATGGCGTGAAACACGCGAATCCAGAAAGGCCTGATTGCTGACACGGGCCCCAGGGCTGCATTTCTTGTAATCCCCCCGCTATGCATCTCGACGGTTCTTACTCTTTGATTGGGCCCTTTTCCCTATCCTGTGCCGTTGACGCATGGGGCCAACCCGTTGACTCCGTTATGGTTCGTCGATTTGGCTCAGCCTCAGGCTGGACACGAGATGGGTGTAACGGTTCATAGGACATAATGCTTTGGCTTTCTAATGCGTGGTGACTGGTGACGGTGTCGCGGTTCAGCACGGCTGAGCACTACTAGACTGCTTACAGCCGGATGTTGGTTCCCTAAATCCTTATCAGGGTCGTATTTTGCTATTCTCGAGACTTTACTGAAAACAGAGTCCTCATCCTCTATCACTGACGAGTCTGGTGAATCACCTGGGTCTTCAAAGCCGATTCAAGCGTCATGGAGATCGGTGAAGACTGTACCGACATGGATTACACTCCACCCCTCTCAACGCGCTCGGATAGCCGAGCGAGAAGAGTGCAGCAGAACCCCCAGGAGATCATGAGGGAATTTTGGAACCAGTTCAGTACCAAGTACCCCGGTAAGGTCTACACTGTTCTGCCCGACAATCCGTATGCTCGCTCCAAAGCGGCGAGTATACGGAGGGGCACGATCAAAGGTCAGAATGCGGCGAAGTCCTACGAGCAAGCCAAACAAGAGTGCGAACGGGCTGTCGAGCGCATCGTGAAAGAGTGCAGGCGGGTGAATCAGAAATATACCGATCCACACTTTGATATTGAGGTTGACCTCAAATCCGGACGGAGGGATTGCTTGGATTCGCTCGATCAGAAGAATCATGAAATGCGCCCGAAAGGGGTGAAAAGAGTCACTGTGTGTTTCCCAAATTAGCGGTTCGTTTATTGCAGATGAACGACGCTAATCTTTTTGGTCAGGAAATCTTCGAGAAACCGCAATTCTTCGTCAATGGACCAACTGCGTCGGATGTGCGCCAGGGCCGCGATGGCGATTGTTGGTTTATGGCTGCTCTCTGCACGATGGGCAACAAGCATGGTTTGATAGAGAAGATCTGTGTTGCACGGGATGAGAACGTCGGAGTTTACGGCTTCATCTTCTACAGAGGTGGGTAGCCGCACCATCATTCGAGCAGTGAGCAAACTCTGACATGATTCGACAGACGGGGAATGGCAAAAGTGCATTGTGGACGACAAGCTGTACCTTCGTGCAGCCGACTACGACGAGTCCGTTGATGAGAGACCCATTTGGGACGACATCAACCGCAGTGACACCGAAGAGGAGTATCGCAAAGTCTGGCAGACAGGCTCACGGGCACTCTACTTTGCCCAGTGTGTGGATCCAAACGAGACATGGCTGCCTTTACTGGAGAAAGCTTATGCCAAGGCACATGGTGATTTTTCCTCAATCGAGGGCGGGTTCGTAGGGTGAGATACACTGCGCTAGCAATTTCATACCCTCACTGACATGCTTTAGGGAGGCTCTCGAGGACCTGACAGGAGGTGTCACGTCGGATATCCTGACCAGCAACATCCTGGACAAGGATCGATTCTGGAAGGAAGAGCTTATGAAAGTCAATGATGAATTTTTGTTCGGCTGCGGTACTGGACTGTTTTCCAACTGGCTAGATCCTAATTATCAAGGGCCTCCAAGAGATAGAAGGGGAATCTCCGAGAATCATTCATACTCGATCATGGATGCGAAGGAGGTCGACGGTCGTCGCCTGCTGCGATTGAGGTGGGTTCATTCCCCAACATCCGTGCGCATATGCTGACCCGAATAGGAACCCGTGGGGTAAGAAAGAATGGACCGGTGCATGGAGTGACGGATCAGAGCAATGGACACCAGAGTGGATGCAGAAATTGGATCACAAGTTCGGAAATGATGGTGTAGGTGCTTCTCTGATCCTGGGTTGTTGGCGCTGTCAGCTGACAAGGGCGATAGTTCTTTTGGATTTCCTACGAGGATCTCCTCAAAAAGTATCAACATCTTGATCGCACCCGTCTCTTCGGGCCTGAGTGGACAGTCACCCAGCAATGGACCACTCTCAATGTGCCATGGTCAGCGGACTATCACAGCACGAAGTTCAGGCTGGATGTGACAACCGCCGGTCCTATCGTCATCGTCCTCTCTCAGGTGACTCTCCTTCCATCCAGAGAAGCTGCAACTTGCTGACAGTGAACAGCTGGATACGCGGTATTACAGGGGCCTGGACGGTGAATATGACTTTGTCCTGAAATTCAGAGTGCAGAAGGAGGGAGAAGAAGAATACATCGTCCGCAGCCATAGCAGCTACCTTATCAACCGATCAGTGAGCGCCGAGGTTAATCTCGATTCTGGTCGATATCATGTGCTCGTGAAAGTCACTGCCTACAGAAAAGACGGCGTGGAGTCCGCAGAAGAGGTCGTCAGCCGCCTGGCGCCGGTCAAGCGGGAGAAGTTCGTTCAGATTGGTCTCTCGTATGATCTCGCGCACGCCAAGGGTCTGGTCGTAGAGACCGAGCAGGAGAAGCAAGCACGCGAAGAACGTGAGCTGCGTCGCAGAAAACTTGAGAGACGAAAGTTGCGCGAAGAAACCAAGAGGAAGCTTCAAAAGGAATGGGTCCGAGGACGCAAGATGGCTGCACGGAAAGAGCGGGCCGCAGAGAGACGTGTCGCAATGAGCAATGGCAGCCTCAACCAAAAGCAGCCTGACAAGCGGGCCACCGAGCAGATCTTTCCCGATGGTCCTGTGCAATCTCCCGCAGACTCGGCAGGCGCTGCTACCAATGGTTTTGACACGAAGCCGGTGCAGAACGGCAGCGTTCCCACGATCAACCTCCCAGAGGACCACCATTCGAAACATGTGAGGCAGCGAAGCAGAGAGACCCTGCGCTCGAGTGTGGACACCACCGTTTCCATGTCGCATTCGGTATACTACAGCGAACAAGAGCTGCTGGAAGGATTTGAGTTTGACTCGGATCTCGACATGCCCCCTGAGGAGCCTGAGGAGACAAAAGCCCCGCCTGCCGCGTCTACTTGCTGTCCTGGAGCCAGTATCGATCCATGGAATGCAGTCTGCGTGGTGGGATTGCGGGTTTATTCGAAAGACCAGCAGCTGTCTCTCGCCGTCGTTCGCCCTGTGCCGGAGGACGACGTCGAAGCAGCTCTTGACATGGACGATCCGGCCGCTAGCGCCACTCTGGCGAAGAGCAAGTTCAGTCGAATGCTCAACAATCATTGATATTGAAGAACTGGATTCAAAAGTTGCGGTGTTCCTGCTTTCAGTATATCATCTGTTATTAGACTGTATAGCTCTCGATATCCGGCCTCATTTATTCATGTACAGGCGTGCCATTGATAATGTATAGCAAGTGATTGATAACGCCAAACTCTCTAGCTAATGTATATAACGAAGCCTGAAAATGCAAACCTGTTGAGATAATACAAATGAATGCCTGATCTGATATAGGATAAAAGCGCCAAGACTTCTCACATGTCAACGATCAACATTGTCATTATTTCCCCCACCCGCATCTCCCCTTTCCTCGCAGAAACAACATGGCGCGATGCGCCGGCTTGCAATTGACTTTCTAGACAGGTTCATAGCAGTCAAATTCTCCTGTCTCCATCCGTCATCCCGTTTATCCGTTCGAGCGAACCTCCGCTGTTTCTCGACTTCTCGATTTGCGCAACCGACCTACCTCAATCAGTCGTTCCAAGTTCCAGTTGGAAACAATGGACATGTATCCGTGAAGTAAGTGTACCTCTCTACAAAGCTTCATAAAAGCTTGTATTGACATGAATATTTATGACAGTGTAACCTATCCCTCCATAGCGCCTACTCATGGCCAACCGAATGTGATCATCCGCCTACCTCCGGGCCCGTTGTTTCAGCAAGAGGCAGAACATAGTGGAAGTCAAGATGATCTTTGCTCAGAAGCTCTGGCGTCCGTCACCTCCTCAACGGTCGTAACGATCAATTACCGTCTAGGGGCAACCGCATCGACAGACCTCGCATCGGAGTGGGCCCTATCCGAAGACGAAGAAAGGCGTCTCTCTGCGGTCAAGAAGCAAGTCTTCTATCGGTACCCTACACCCGTCCATGATACCCTGGCTGGATTCGATTGGGTCCAGCAGAACCTCCAACCCGCGCGCCTATGTGTCATCGGCACACACATCGGTGGCTCGCTAGCGCTCATGCTCGCCCTCACCGAAGCGCAATCTGTTCATGCCGTCGCGGCCCTAGAACCTATCTGCGATTGGGCCGGGCTGGATGAGCACTGTCTTATGGAAGAGCAACCAGCTCAGGAGAAAAGCACTGCCAGCAAGAGAATACGGGGTGCAGGAAGCCGAGTCCCCGCTGCGCAGGATCTTGTCCCGCTCCTTGAAGCACGGGAGAAATTCTTCGCCACGCCGGAGCGCTACTTTGATGCTTTTGCCTCGCCTGTCCTGCTCCTACGGTCGGCGGGTAAGGACGTTCCGAGGACGTTTCCGAAGTACCGCACTGGTCCAGACTATCCCGTGCCTGTGCTTGTGTCCAGCAAATTAGACAGACAACCGATTGGTGTCTGGGAACCCGATACGCAAGACCAGTCAATCCACCAGCAAGTTGACGTCTACGACTTGGAGACAGATCTACTGTCCGATCCAGACCCCGACGCAAAGTCCAGAATTGACCCCGCCGATGCCAGCTTCGGGATCCAGGGCCGCGCCATCCGCCGCCGCAAAGCCCTCTCGCGCTGGCCTCCATACGGTCTAGACTATGGTTTGAGCGCCTCCCCTCGCTACCATATCTACAACCAAGGAATCAAACGGCTCGAAATGGCCCTCCCGAACATCCGTCTCTTCGTCCGTGCCAGCGAAAACGAAACCGAAACCGAAACCGAACAGCCTGACTCTCTCCCTGCGTCTGCCGGAGGTGGGAAACGGCAGGGGCCCCGACACTCAAGAAAAACACAGCGGCGCTCAATCCTGGCGCACCAGGCGGATGAGATGGTTGATGTTATGCGCAGGGCATGTTTCTGGGGCCGGGAGAAAGGCTACGGGGAGAGCAGAGTCACGCTTGCGCAGGTGGCATCTGGAAGATGGCCTGTCTCTGGCGAGGATGACGCGGGGAGATGGCTGGGTGAGGCATTGTTTTCAAAAGATTCAGATGCGAATAGCTGAGCCATCGAGGACTATACTTTTGTCTAATGGAAGATTATGACGCTGCATCTTGGTATACAATGCTTGTCCGGAAAGAGTGATGAATATTAAGATGCAGTTGCTGATCGAGAGGTCAGTCTAAGCGAGGATATACTACCCTATTTTCGGTTGGTAAAGCGCGAGACTAGTATCGCCAGTTCCCCGGTTCATGCTCCCAGCAACTGCATCTTATATAGAACCCATTTTGCCGGGTGTTACTTTGTGATGTTGATATATGTTGATATATATAGATATCGAGCTGGCTTCTACATAATTCACTGACCACGCGCTGAAACAGTAGCAGAACCGGATAAAGAGTATATCCATTAAATTCATTATGTATAAAATAAGTTATGTAACTATAATGAAGAACCCCCGAAAGTATGTCCATTGGGCGTGTCCCACCACGGTTCGATATCAGAGAGGCTGGGCAAGACATTCTCCCCTTCGAACTGGTTGCCCGTGCCCATCTGTGCCAGTCGGCCATCCCCCAGGTTCTCGGCGAGGAGTTGAAAATCCGAGTCCCGGATCCAGTCCAGGTCGCCGGGTTGGCAGACGCCGAAGCGCTGGGACTGGGACTGGTTCAGGGGCTGTTGCGCGGGCCGTTGCGACTGAAACTGAGACTGGGGAAGATTGTGGGCAGAGGGCATGTTCGATGAAGGCGCTGGCGGCGGGAAAGGATAGGAGGATTGATTCTGGTTCGGCGGCGCGGATATTCGGGATTTTTTCCTCGACGGATCAGACTCGGTGGAGGGTCCGGGTCCCGGACCGGTGGATTGCTGTGAGAGTAACTTGCTGAGTTGGCGCTTTTTGGCGGAAATGATAGTTAGCATGATGTCTTTTTGATGTGACGTTTAGTTTTCTTGTGTCGGTTGAGATCAGAAAGTTTTTTAAAAGAAATACGGCAAGGTGCACAATGGTGTATTTCCTCCTGATGCCCTTTAGTTCTGTCCTGGTGCTTTTTGCTTGAATTGTGTCTCTGAAGCTTGGTAACACTTGCAAAAGACGCATCGCAGACAGAACAGTAATGAAGCTTGGATGCAATGATCTCCTGTTCCCTTGCTTTTTTCCTTGGTGTTCTCTTCGTTCGTCTTTTGTCATACGCCTTGGCATGAGGACTTTTGCTCCAGGCACGCTTGTATTCACGCTGTCTCTCTTTCTTCTCTCGATAAATCTCAGACCATTGTTCTGAAGTTTCTTCAGGATTGATCTTGATTGGTTCATAAAGCGGGTTGTGACCACATAAGCCCCTGTACGTAAAGGCAGAGGGTAACCAGTGAGACTCCCTAAATGTCGGGAAGCCATACATGATCTTCTTGTTCCACATCGACCAAAGCATATAGGAGAAGGCAGCTTCAAGAATGGTGACCACAGCACGGTACACTGGCCTATCTGGTGGTGTCGGCACTGCCATACTAACCAGTATGGCAGAATGGACAAGATTATATCCATCACATTTTGACTCAGTAACACGATGTGGAACACAATGTCCATTTCGATGGTCGCTAAGTCGGCTTCGAATACCATACCCGACATTGGAAGAGGAGCCAATGTAAATCCTATACTCGCAGCCGGGTTTTTCAAAGACAAGGACATATACACCCCATAATCCTTTCGGAACATCAGATGAAAGAGAAAGGAACCATGAAGCTGTCGGAGGAGTAGATGCAGAAAGAACTTGAGACAAACCATCACAAAGAGTGAGGTTGGCAGAAACGAGAAGTTCCGATAACCTATCAGGGGTGGACACAATTGCACGATAGTCTGGGTTGATATAACCAGTCGGAGAGTCGAGGAGAGACCAGCATGTCGGTGTGACAAGTTCCAGGGCATTGGGATTGTCGTCGGTGGTATGGGTGCTTGACTCGCTGGTAGAACCGGTGGAGAACATCTCGTTGCCGTGGGGGAAGCAGAGGAGAAGGAATGGGGTGACCATCTTTATACGTGCGATACAGGTTCGTTTCGGCAAGAGCCAAAACGGAAAGTGCGATGACTGACCATAGGGGAAGGAGGGACAACAAGGGAAGGGACCAGAGGGGAAGGGGCCATAGGGGGAACCGCACCTTTTTGTCTTTTCTAAGGTGGGCCTGCCATCTGCGTTGCAGGCTGACGAGAAAGTCGCGGGTTCGTTTGGCGTTCTCGAACGACTGGCCCAGTTCGTCTAGAGCGCGGAAGCAGAGGTTCAGGTACGCCACCATCTCCGCGTTGCTGTTGGTATTCTCGTTGCTGTTCTTGCTCGATGAAAATGTGTTCGAGATGGTCACGTAGAGAAGCATCAGAGCTGCGCTGAAGATGATCGCGACAACCTGATTGTTCATCCGGCGGAAGGTATAATGTTTTTCGTATATGTGGAGGATTCGCGCGATGGCTGTCGATGACTCGATGCACATTCGTCGCGCATGGTGGTAGCCAGGACCCTGGCGCGGACTGCGTGGCTGGATGTAGTTTTTCGAGACCCATGGTCTGTGAGTGAAGATGACTATCTGATGGTATTGCATGCTGTAGACGATTAGCTTCATGGGCCTGGTTGTGCGGATAGGGAAAGACGTACTGCAACATCAAGAGATGGGGCAAGCTGGGTGTAGTCTCATCGTCAAGGTCAATCTTCAAGTTGGAAGGCAGGTTTTCCTTCCAGGCGAAAAGATCTTCAGTGACGTTATAGCACAGCCTCTGCAGATCATGTCGAGGAATATCGGAGCATCCGTAGCTAGAGCGATGTCAGTCGCTGAAGTAGATCAGCTATCGCTGGGAGAACTTACAGAATATGACCGATGGGTAGGATGATCTCCCATAGCACCGCGAATTGTCTGCTGATCAGCTCATTTGGATTCCTCACCCCTTGCTGTAGCACCACAGATTTCGTCTCTAGCCCATATGGATACCAAATGCTCTCTTTTTCTGCCCCCAGGTCCGACGCGGGTTTGGGGACAGTAATGTCTCCGGCATTGGTGCGGAAAGGCCGCCCTAGATAAAAACCCCAGAAACTGGAACCATCATCAGCCAGAGACACCGGTGGTCCAGCAACCAGGCTTGCAACTTACTGGTCCGCAGTATAGCTTCCCCAGAACGCTATGCGACGCACATCGGCTTCGAACGCGCTAATGTCGCCTTTTTCAACGTACGGACTCATGTCGAGGTGTAATCCAAGGTCAAATGCAAGTCGCATTGACATTCCTGGAGGTAATCAGCTCTGACATCCATTTGCTTGGTTCCCAACATACCACTATAGAGCCAACCCCGTGCATCACGATTTGATGCCCCCTCATGACAGCTCAAAATAACCAGCGCCTGCACTGTGGCAACACAGGGAGAATCCAGTTCGATTTCCAAAAGAGCCTTGGCTCGATCCGCGAAAAATTCGGAAAGCGACTTGGGGAACGTGATAAAAGTAGGGTGGTACCGCGCTTCGAACGCACTGCCGACGGCACACCTAGAATCTTGTTAGTGCGATGCATGGCAATGATGGCAAAAACATACATGGCATTTGTCAGAACTTCCGAATAAAATGGCGTGTCGTCGAGGTCATTCCTCCACCTCGACCTCGCCGTCATAAACATCTCCTTGTCAACAACATATGTACTAGGATTCTGCCAGGTAAAATACAGCTCGACAAGATGATCCTCAAGAGCCTGATCCACAGACTGTCCGACTCGCAGATGATTCAGGATGTCCTGTCCATCATGGCGAACAGTACGAGCATCAGGTCGCTGGCGTTGTTGGGTCGCCGAGACGTCAACCAGATTGAGATTTGACGTGGCTCCGTAAAACCGCAGATGGCCATCCCCGGCGATCTTCAATGTCCCAATGCGATGTGATAACTGTTCAATGACATCGTTCTCAGCTTCATCCTCTTCGTCACTTTCGGAATCATCCTCAGTGTTATTCTGGGCTTGGCCCAACAGGACACCAGGCTGTTGAGTGAAGTCTGGAGGTAAAGGCACGCTGTCCGGACTGCTGATGCTGCCGATGCTGCCCTCGTTCTGGTAATTGGACGCACCATCCAAGTTAGCATAGATGGACCCTAGGCTCTCCGCCGTTGGAAGAGTAAAGCCCCAGTGCGTGGAAGGATAGTGGATGGAAGGGCCCGGATTGACGCCGAAGAAGTTGGCTGGATCTGGGTTTCTCTCAGCCAACGAGATCTGAGGGGGTGACGGAATGAGACTGGGAGCACGTCCAAGGGCGCTCTCCTTTACGGGCTGCCCTTCTAGAGTTGGAACATCCGGCGAGTTTCGCTCGGGAGATTGCTGAGCCGCCGGTCTGGGCTGCACATTTGGCGCATCAATCTTCCCAGGACTGCTCTTCTTCACAATTGCGCGGGGAATTTGAAGCGTGTCCAAAACCCGATTCATGCCCGCCTCATCTTCGGGCTTCATCGGGGGCGGATCTAGCCCATGGTCATAGATGAACTGACAAAGCTGGTCAATTCTGGCGGAAAAGAGCTCCGTAGCGGCACGAAGCGAAACTCTGGCGTCAAGACGGTCAGCTTCTGATGGCTCTTCATCAAACAACGTCTAGAGTGAGCTTTTCGCAGCCTGGGCCAAAATCGAGAAATTCGCTTGTCACTCGTCTCTATCATGGGGTGCCCCTGAAGAGAAGCACAAGGTGCATATCATGAAATCCAGCCAAAATGCTTGGAAAGATGGAGCGAGACGAGACCTACTTCCGCTTGTCATCGCCATGCTGGTACCTGCAATCCTTCCCTTTTCTCTCGCAATTGCGACAATGTGGAGTAGCACCGTCGCACTGGATAGTAGTCAGTATGATTATAGAATCGAAACGCGAAAAGTAACAAACTGACCCTGATTTTACTTTCTCTACAGGGGACGCAAGCCGTAGTGACATGCTTACGCGGAGCCTTCTTTGACGTCTCGGACTGAGACTGCATGGTCACCATTGTGGTAGTAACACTGCGCGCTCAGTCACGGCGGAAAAGTAGGCGAAACACCAATAAGAGCAAAGAATGGACTCTCAACTCCCAGTCATGGATTCGACCTCCACAGTAGCTTGATGGACTAGCGACATGCTCAGATCAAGAATTATCAGGATGGAATGGATGTAGAACATGCTTTTCTGGGAGGGGGACTCGATGTGGTTGGGCCAAGGCTAAGAGTGACTCTGTTCTGGGGCCCGTCCAGAATCGCAACAATTTTCAGTGGAGCGGGGAGGGGGATCCACCGGGCGTGAAGAGAGCCCAGCCTATAAGACTCGGCTGCGATACAGCTTCATTACCTTAGGCTTTTAGACTTTAGTGATGCAACTGGCAGGTGGCGAGGCGGATGGCTTCTGTACACACTGTGTGGCTGATTCTGCAACTAAAGAGGGGATAGAGTCACTTGACCACGCAAAGGAGAATGACCACAATAATGGACGCAGTATTACGCGAATGCTTGACTAATACTGGAATGACTAGTTATTTACACCCCCCACAGACCTGACATACAAATGATACTGACAGGCTATTATTTACCAATTGCTGGTACGTTTCAACGCCTCATTCTGGATCACCTCGATCCAATAGCCATCCGGGTCAAGAATGAAAGCCACATTTTTCATCCGCCCGTCTGTCAAACGTTTCTTCCAGTTCACATTGAGCGACTCGAACCGATCGCAGGCAGCATTGAGATCGTCAACAGAGACACCTGCAGGCACAGCAATGTCAGCGTAGTTCAGACTGTTGTAAAAGGATGTCGAGGTGGCTTACAGATATGACCGAACCCTTGAGGCTCCGAATTACCATCATGATAAACCTTGCCTTCTTGCTTCTCGGTACCGTAGTTCCAGGTAAGCTCGAGCAGTCCCTCCCATTCAGCCACAGGATTCTTCGCGCCCTCCTGCGCAGTGGGGTTGGATGCAGGGTAACCCAGGAAGTAAAGATTGAAGGCAGCATCCTTATTCTCGATAGTGCGGACAAGCGACATGCCCATAACCTCCTGGTAGAACTTGAGACTGGTCTCGGCGGACTTGACCCGCAGCATGGTGTGGTTCAGTCGGTAGGTGCCTGGATCTGTCGCAGTCCCCAGATCCTGGTCGTGGCGGCGGATGATCTCAACCCAGTATCCATCGGGATCCTTTGCAAACGCAATGTGCTTCATGCGACCCTCTGTGAGCTTCTTCTGGAATTGATACCCAGCATCTTCGAGTCTCTTGCAGGCCGCTTCGATGTTGTCGACCGAGATGGCAATGTGTCCGAAGCCGCGATGGGGCTCCGTGTTCCCATTGGCAACAGTGTAATTGGGGTCATTCTCAGTGCCATAATTGTGCGTGAGTTCCAGCACGGCATTGCGGTCCGTCCAGTGGCGGTCGCCCTGCAACGACTGGGGGCCATTGTAGGCGAGGAAGTAGAGGGAGAACTTGTTTTCAGGAAAGTCGAGTTGCTGGATCTGATTGAGCCCAAGGAACTTGTAGAACTCCACTGGGAAAAGACAAAAGCAGGCAATCAGCGCCCAACCCAATGACTGCGCAGTTATTCGGGCTACCTACCTGATCTCTTTGGGTCCTTGACCCGGATCATAGTGTCTGCAAGCTACGTTAGCCTCAAACACTTATGGCTTGTCACTCTAGGTCCAATCACAGGGGAAGGCACTAACGATTAAGCTTATACTTGGAGGTTTCTGTCGCCATGGTTGCCAACAATCTAGTAGAGGTTCCTGCAGCGGCTCATTAGCAAATGATTGATGGTAAGTGGGGTAGAGAACCGATTGAATATGAGAGACGCATGCCTGATAGGACGGAGTTTCTTGGAATGGGGACCTTGAGAGAAGGACGAGACGCAGGAAGAAAGCGACAAGCGAACATATAGCAAAAGAAAGCAGCGGAGGGGTAAAGTGGTGATGCGTCTTGTTATTATTAATGAGTGAGCGGCGTCGTGAGGAGAAAAAAGAGCAAATAAAGGTGGGGTCACCTATGACGCTATGGTGGGAATGGGATACTCCAACATTGGGGTCAGGATCAGTATTCATACAGAGGTAATTCTAATCTGCTTCAATTGGGAGTCCGCAATAAATGGAATATCCCTTATTCTTTTTCTTGTGACTGTAAAGTATGCAAGTGAGGCAGTGAGGCTATTGTGTATACTTTGTGGTGATGGATGCCCACCTCCTTTGCTGCATACATCACAGAACTAGAGGTATTAGAATGGTACCAAGCATAGCATTGGGTAATCCTACAAGATACTCGCCCTATAACCATCAAGTGAATATATGTCTGCCGTAAGCTCTTCTAGCGCCGAATCTCTACCTTTAGATGCTAGTCTATTCAGTTCTCTTGACAGGGCAGGGTGGTCCAGGGACCAGGTCTGCCTGATAAACCAGGCCACCCCGATCGGCTGATCTTCTCCGCTTTCCGCCGTCCATCATCAAATCCCCCAGCGCCTCGACCGTCTCTCATCTCATCTCAACTGCTTCTGCTTACTGTTGATACTGTTGATTGACAACTAATAATAGTCTGCTATCCTGCAGCTTTATATCGTGAGAATCTGCTATTGATTGACTTGCCAACGCTGGTCGTTGCATAAATCTACCAAGGTCCGTGGAATTCCTATACCGTTCTCTCGCTCTCACTCTCCTCGGTGCCTCTCTCATGCTCAGGCTGAGCATCGCCAACAGCTCAGCCAACCATTCCCCGGACTATTTCCGCCTTTCTTTTCTTTTTCCTGTTGGTATTTTCCCTTTCCCCTTTTCGGAGCCTCTCTTCATTTCTGGCGCCTTACTGCGGCTATTAAAAAAAGAAAATAAATATGGCATCTCACATTCTTGCCTACGTTTTATTTCCCCCACAGCCTTCAGTCCCCACTTTCCTCGACGACGTCGCGAGAGCTCTGTCTCCCCGATGGCTCCGGGCTGTTTGTTCTGGACTTCGAATGAGGCCACCCGCTCAGAACGTCCTGTTTTCCTTTCCGTCGAAAGTTGAATAGAAAAGGGACCGTTTCCCCTCTCTCTTGCTTTGTATTACTTGTGCTACTGAAGATCGTCTCCTGGTCTTCTTGAACAGGAAGCGCCTGACTCAGTACTTGTCCCCTGACGCTCTGCTGTATTGCTGCCTTGTGTGACTGTCACCACCGGTGTGATTCATTCTTGTACTTTTCTGTTTTCCTGGCCTGCTCATCCATACACTCTTATCTCGAATTCATCCCTGTTAGAGAAAAGATGGCTGAATTTAAATATCCAGTTCGTTCTGGTCATTTGAATCGGAAAACTACCGGAGTCTTCGAGGTTCCACATCTGCCACCTTGGACACAAAGCCACGTTCAGCACGCGCAGAATCTCCTTGAGTGCTCAGACGAACCTATTGAGTACGATCACGACGACGAAGATTACTCGGACAACTGCTTCTTTTTCCCCGAGGACTGTTCCTGGTCTCCGCCTCCGAACTGGGTTATTGAAGACGACAGGTCCGAAGACGAGATTGCCGACGGAACTGACTCTGAGCACGACTGCTACAACGGCACAATGATCCCGGGACTTCCCGACATCCGAATGCTCGATGCAGAGGCCCTCAGCGATTTGCTAGAGGACAACCTCTCGCCTCCGGAGATCACTACGATCCTGTATGCTGATGTCATTTCCTGACTACCGGTGTAACAATGCTGACATTTGCGACTCGTAGGGTGTTTGCCACAAACGGTGCCATCTTTGCCTATGCCTCGTCGCTTTCATCTCGGCAGTTGCGCAACTTGAGCGCCACATACGGAGCTGCCTATACTTGCTACGCAAAGAACGCTTCGAGCGGGAATCTTACAGGCGTGAACCCATCCAGTCACCCGTCGTCATATGTCACGGCACAGTCAGTGTCGCTAGGCGACGTAGGCTCTATTGTCTTTGAGCTTGAGGACTCGGTTGCCGTTGTGACCAGGATAGCGGACAAAGTCCTGCTGGCCGCTGTGGGGCCGTCGAAACCTGACATCGACGAGGGCAGTTCTGCCGACGGAACGCAAGTTCACCAAAACGGCTTTGCGACGTCGGCAGCGGAGTCGAATGCACACCGGCACACCACCAACGGTACACACACCAGCCAACCGCCAACCACCACGACCTCTACCCCGACCAGCATCTCTCGCAGCGAGAGCGAAGCTGACGTACAAGCAGACGCAGAGCTAGAGACGCAGTACGAGATTGACCGGAGCAGCAATCTCGCTCGTCTGGCGAGCTTGAATCTGTCTGCATCGCCCTCGACGCTCTTGGCGCTCGAGTCAAAGGCTGCCGCTCTGGGAAGGTTTCTCAGTCAGAAGTTGGCCCACCTTGAGAGTCCTGAAGATTTTTAGTTTTCTTTCTTTATTCCTATCATGAGTCTGTACGATTTCCATATGTTCCATATTCATTTTCTGAGCGTTCCGGTCATTTGTGAGAGATATCCATCTTGGTCGCATCTGAGAATCCGATTCCCATTTTTGTTACCTGCAGCCGCAGCAGTGTGTACACATGAAGCATCAGTTTTTCCGTCTTGCGCCTTGTCCTCTTGTGCAGACCTTGGAGTCGAAACATCCGCAGCCAAGAAATATGGATGGGTCCGCCAGGGAGGCTAACCTTAACTCAGCGTCAATACTAGGTTGAAGACTTCGTTCTTGGATTTGTGTATAGTATCATTGTTTCTTTATCTGAGTCAATATCCACCGCCAAGCCGCTATCTAGTATCCTACCCCATGTTAAGGCTCGATAGGCATGAATGACTCACACCAGAACATATATAGCCACATGTACGGAGTACTCCGTATACCCAAAGGTACGCTCACATCGATCACAGACTTAATTTCCTATCCAACATGCCCATCCTAATCAACCCCATCACAAAAGAACCCTACATCCCCCTCCCCGCCCCCCATTCATCCATCATCCTCACCCCGCCGCGCCCACCCAACACCCACGACTCCTCCGCCCTCCTCTCCCTCCTCAACAACCCCCAGATCTACCCCTATCTCGAATCCACCCCCGTCCCATACCTCCCCGAACACGCCACGGCATGGCTGCAGACATCGCACGAACAAGCCACCGCCCTGCTGCACGCAGCGCAAACCCACCGCTTCGTCGACGGGCTGCCATTCACCTGCATTCGGGAAGTCACCAACAACAGCGACGTCTACATCGGCAACGTAGGACTAACGCGGTACACCTTCTACGAGTTCAAAAAGGGCTCGCCGGAGCGCGAGGAGGCAGTGCGCAGGAATGCCGCGTTGGGGGTTGGCAGTCCGGAGATTGTTTGGGGGTTTGGTGGTGCGTCTCCCTCCCTTCCTTCCTTCCTTCCTTCCTTCCTTCCTTCCTTCCTTCCTTCTTTGGCTACGCATAATACATATATGTATAATATTTAGGTGATGATGGTGGCTGACGGTGACTGAAGATTATCTCTCGCCTACGCATCATGGCAAAGGCATCATGACGGCTGTGATCAAGGCGGTGGTTGAGGAGTGGGCGGTCCCGCGGATGAATGCGCGGGTGATCAAGGGGTCGGCGTATGCGGATAATAGGGCTAGTATGCGGGTGTTTGAGAAGAATGGGTTTCGGCTGGAGTATGAGTTGGAGGATTGGGCGGTTGTGTCGCTGGATCGGGGCGGAGGGGTGAAGTCGATTGTTGTGTTGGTTTGGGAGGTGGCAGGAAATAAGTCGGAGGCTGCGATTGAGAAGAGGGGATTGCATGATATTCGGGCTACCGATTCTGACGGGTAACCGCACTGGATAGGTACACTGGATACAGGTACGGCATTCTCGAGGTATACTGATTAAGTACATGGTCATCCTATAGACATGATCGATATTATACTCTGCGATATACGAAAAAAAGTAAATCAGAAGCTTCAGCATGGTCACGACTTCTCGACACCGGAAGCAGACGCGTCAGGTGCAACAGCTGATCCACCAGGTCCCATGTGGTAGTGGCCCGTGGCAGAGCTTGTCGAGCGGTTGAGCCCAGTCTCGGCCGCCGGGGTGGTGGGAGTCGCCGCCTCGCCGGCAGTGGTCTTTTCCGGCGCGGCTGGCGCAAAGCTTTCCTGCTCCTTGTAGGCCGGAGGGTTTTGTTGTGCCTCGCCTGCGGCAGCATCTGCAGTAGCAGTAGTAGGAGGAAGAGCCGAAGCGGCACCACCCCCAGCTGCTACAGGGCTAGTGGGAGATACTGGCGAGTGCGCCGGGCCACTCTTGGCTGCGTCGCGGACGACGTTCCACCATTTCTCCGCGTCACTCGGAGTATGCGCTTTGAAGTTGAACTCGCTGGTGGTGTGGAAGGCGTTGCCGACCTTGCCGCCGGAAACATCCTTGCCTTTGATGGTGAACTTGTTACCGTCGACGCCGCCAACCACGCAGTCGGGTAGGTACAGAGACAGCTCAGGAGATGGATCGTGGCGGAAATCGTCATTGTCCTTGAACTCGTGCAGGTATCGCGCTGGTGTGACAACATAATAGCCCGTGCTGTAACCTTTCAGCATGGCCCGGGACTTGCGCTCCAGGCTGCCCTCGATGAGCGGGACGGTGGCGCGGTGATCCTGGTTGGGGAAAGAGATGTTGGACAGCGATCGCGGCGGTGAGTCGGGGTCCACCAACACGTTGGCGTTGCGCGTGATGAAATTAACCCATTCAAAGTCCGGAGGAATGCGCTGAGCAGCGCCCAGGATGTCGTTGCACATGCTCCGTTGGCGGTCGAGTTGGCCGCCCACGAACACGTTGAACTGCTCGATGGCGGACTGGATGGTTTGCAGAACATGCGCCTCGAACTGCTGGAAGTTGTTCTGCACGGCAATGATGTCCTGACGGTTGTTGTTCTCTTCGGTGACTTGCTTGTTCAAGCGGTGATGGACCCCACGGCGCAAGACGTATGGGTCGTGGGCATGGACGAATCTGTTGCCCGCAGTTGAGTCAAACGCTGCAACCTGCTGAGCGAGGAGCTCGATATGTTTCTGCGTCACACCTCGTGCTTTTTCAACGGCCTTCGCGCTCTTACTTGCGCCGCTCTGCAGCTCCTTGGACTTGTTCTTGATCTCCTTGTGGAGACGCTGAAGGGTCGGCAGCACGGATCCTTTCAGGTTCTTTTCCGTGTCGAGGTACCCATTCACGATTCCCTACGTAATCCGTCAGTAGCTGCAAACACCAGGTACACATGCCAGGAAAGAATACCTGAGTATTGCTCCGAATATTTTCAAACCATGCCGAAACTCCGCCCGCACTCTGAGAGAAATGGTGCCCCTCCCGAAGGGGATCGCTGACAGTCTACCCAGGCAGTATCAATACCCTTTCTTTCGGTACCATCTTGGACAAAACCTCACACCTTCAGAACTTTCTCATAATCCTTCGCTTGCGACTTCTGCACTTTGGCTGTGACTTCCACATAATCCTCCAAATAGCCACACATGTGTTTCCAAGCACGGAGACGCTCGAGGAGAAGGCCCGTAGTCTACTCAGCACAGCATAGTCAGTATTTACCCATCAGTAGTAGACCCTAGACACACCTCATTGGTATCCGAACCCGGGACGGCCTCGTCATCGCTCAGTGACGCCCGACGGTCCGGACCGATGGAGCTCCTCATCGTCGACGAACGGTGAGGGAGTCTCTGCTCCACGGGACTGGTTGCAGCCGACATTCTGACTGAATAAAAAGCGCTAGATTTGAAGCAGATGAAATAAACAGAAGCCGATTGACTTGATTCAGAAATACCGGGAAGAAGGAAAAAAAGATGCAATTGCGGGAGATCGTGGAGGGCGGAAGCGCTGGCTTGGACTAGGCTCAGCTATTGCGGTAGTACGTGCTACTGCCCCGTAGTCTACTGCGCATACGTAACTATAGATAGTTAGTTGGAGGGGTCAATAATCAAAGCGGAGGGGGTGGGTCGGAGCGGTCAATAGCTAGATGCTAGACAGCTAGACCGAATGGCTAGATGGACACTTACCATGTACAAAATGGAAAGATCGAAATCTCTCTTCTCTCGCAGAGTATAAGTGAAAGAGGCTATACGTTCTGGCTTGGTTGACAGATAGGAAGCAGGGTAGTTGGGATTGCCAGCATTTAAAAGGGAGCTTGTTCACCGGATCGAGAGCAATGAGGTCACTGCTTTCTTGATTTGCGTTGTGCAACCCCTCAGTTGGCCATTTGCCAACCTCAGTTCGCCCAAACACTTGAGATCTCAGACAAAACCCTTGTTTTAGTCTGTCTGACTGCAGAACATGGGTCCGTTAAGCTTTTTCTATCGGAACCGAGCCATTTGCCTGATATTGTACTCTTCCTTGCCTACCGATTACTATACAAACTACGGAGTGGGTGACAATAGAAAGACCACGATTCTGCGTGGCCTTTTCCACCCCGCAACTTTATTACCTTCAAAATAAAGGAACTTACTATCCTTGCTACAGATAAATCATGTAGCCACTAAAACCTATACCTAATAAATTGTCTCCTGTGGGAAGGTTATTAACCAGAATACTCTGATCATATTTCTAAAAAGCAGTGAGTTAAGTGGTGCCATGTGTTACAGGCCCCGATGGGGTCAATGCTGCGTTTGTAGGGCAGTACGGCGACTACTATGATGATGAAAGTGATCACGGTAGTGATTAGACAGAACCAAGGACAAGCGCGGTGTGTGTCTCAAGCTTCGAAAGGCATCTCATCTTATGTAACCATCCTCTGAACACAAAGTCTAGAGCCAGACGATGAGATGCAGAACTGTTGATGGTCCATTGAGATTAAGAATAAACGCCTCTCGACTTGCTGCTTGAGTGCGGAGAGACCTTTTTTTTTTTTTTTTTTTAACTTTTTTCCCAGTCTTTTGATCAGCGATCACCTTTTGCCCCGTCCGGCGTATCGAGACTTGACCAAGTAATTGATCGTCAGTAGGAATGAGCGCCTGTAGCTAACCAGCCATCAATCAGTTCTCAGTTGGTTAACGTCTACGAAAGGTGAGATATAGATCATAGACCTGGAAAGCTTGTACACAAACATGGCCTTGTGGTCAAGTGGCTTGGTTATAGCATTTGACCCACACTCTGACTTTTTCTTTTTGGGCAACGTGCCCTGGGTTCGAATCCGATTGTGCACTATTTGCCCTCGGAATTATTTTTTAATCCTCCTTTGCTTTCCGCCGACAGTGAAGCAAACACACCTACCTATCTTAGTATTACTACCACTACTACTGATATGTTTCCTAGCATATACTATTCCGCGAAATCAGTGTCCCATTGATTTTTTTGCGACAAGGAACAGCAGGAGACCGTACTATACCTTCAGGGCTGTCGCTAGGGTTAGACATGGCACCTACTTTACAGAGGTAGTTCTGCTCCTTCCTCCAGAACA